AAAATTTTAGTTCGTAAGCAGACAAGTTTTTTCCGGTTTTCAAACTACCAAATACTTTTTTTCTTACCATCCATAATTTTGATCTTTGATCTTAGTATTTTCTTCGAAAATTTTTTGTCACAACTAACATAATAAATTACAAAAATCTCACTCTTTTCAGAATACAAAACATTGAGTAGAATGTTTCCAAGGAAAAATGCACTTGTAAGGTAATTTTTTATCATAATTTTTTTCCAAAAAAATAACAAAAAATTCAAAACTGAATTGATTCATAGTATAGAAAATACAGAAAAACCTCTCCTCAACTTTAGGAACTTTCCGAAGTAATTGAATATTAGCTAAATTGTCAGTTTCAAAAGGAAAAGCACAATGATGGCTGCCTGTCTAATGAAACAAGCTGAGCACAACATTTTTACCAAAAATTGCTGTTCTACCAAAAATGTTCACCAAAAATTGCTATTTTTATTGTTCTCCATCATAAGTTTTACTTTTTAAGTCTGTCATTGAGCATAACTTTTGAAATTGTATTCCGGTCGAGGTCTGTTACAAAGTAGGTCAGTACGTGTACTCGAGCAAATGTTTAGTCTAAACGAAGTTAGCATGAAAATTTTAGGGCCGCGAAAGCGCTTAACGATGCTTTCAAAATTGGACTAACTTGGTGGAAATTGGATTAAAAGTTGAAAATTTTCAACTGGTTTTTCCCAACATTGAGATGAATGTTTGAATCGCGACTGAAAGGGCTTTAATATGATATACCACTTGACTCAATCCGATGATTATTTGTGGTACCTGATTTTGCGTTAAAAACAAAAAGAAACAAGACTGCTCGTAACAGGGCGAAGCCCTGAATGTTCCGACTGCCTTTTAAGGTTTATGGAGCAGTAATAACATTAAAAAATTCAATGAAATAAAAACATTTTTTAATGAAAATCATCCCCCCACACGCCATATAAAGTACAAAAGGATAGATTTCGCTCCTTGTAACAAACCAATTATGGCAAATAAGCTTCGCTTCTTTTAACCAATTTGGAACGATTTCTAAGACGGATTAACTCTCCGCTTACGCGTTAATAGCGCGAAATATCGCGCGTTAATTTTCCCAAATTGGCCAAAATTGCAATCTTTAAACCCCCCGTAACTTTACGAAAAATGATCACAGGTGAAATATCTTTTCAAAATTAAGCTCAAGACAACAATACTTTTTGAATGATATAAAAAAATTCCATCGAAAATTGCTAGTTAAAAAGTCGAAATTTGTCTGAAGAAAAAAAAAAACCCACCCCGAGCACAAATATTCCGTTACTTTCGTATCGAAAGTCGGAACAAAAAAAAGAAAAAACTGAATTAAACCAGAATAAAAATTGTCTCCACATTTTTCAAATACTTGAAATAATCACCAAAAACTATACGGAATGGGATTATGCTGTATAAAATGTATACAAAAAAAGACGTCAAAAAGATTACCAGTAAATTTACCCATTACGTATAATTAAATATAGTTACTTTTTTCTTAAATTCCCGTAACCTTTTTCGGCATTTAATCCAGCAATTTTAACTGAATATACGTATTACGTTTCTTCAAATGACATTGAATTGAACGTTAAATAAAACTTGGACGTAAGGATGCGTCACAAGTAATTATGTAGGCAATCATATATTTTGGAATGAGTAAAATTTGTTAGACAAATCCATTATTAATAACAGATAATTGCGGCTTTTGCCATTCGCAGAGGATCCATGAAAGGCTATTTTAAGCTTGGCAAAGCAAAGTCCGTTTATATTTTTTCCATATTTTCCAGACTGAACTTTTTTTGTTTCGAGAAGCTCATCTTTGCGATCCAAGGACACGTTTTTCATCTATATATTACCGAGATGGCTCTGCAATATGTTTATTATAAATGAGGAGTCACCTTGTTATACCTAACGAAGTCCGCCTGTGGTTTTTGTAATCAAAATAAATAAAAAATTAATTAAAGTGTAAAAAATACCTGGTTGAATGTTTTTTTTTTCAGAAGTATCGTAACCAAGATTCTTTTTCGTTTCACTTTTTGATTTATCCAAAAAAAAATGGTGGCGGGACTAAAAATACTTTAACATTACTGCGCGTTTTTCAATTGTCACTTTTAGATGAACATAAATTTTGATATAGATTATAAACTTGGTGATAAGATGACAAGTATAACTCTGATTAGAACATATTTATTTTGAATCGGAGCATAGCGACAAGCATGTTTGGCTAATTTATAGCAATGGAGAATCCCATTAGATGTTCAATCAAATGAAAAAAACTTAAAAGTCTTAAGTCAACTGAAATACATTTTTTTGTGGTAAAATCTGGTTTCTATTGAAGCAAAGCCTACAAAACTATTAAAAACAAAGTTTCAAATATCAATAGGAAAATTTTAGGTGAAAACTGCCATGATTCATTATCAAATAATATAAAAATTGATTTTCTTGCAGATCAGCTCCGGAAATAAAAGTTTTAGAACCATTAATGACAAAAATGCTGAATACGAGGTTTCGATACCACAGACTGCAGAATCCATTTGCGTCAAAATATATATCCAAAAACTAGTCTAAAGGTTTTTCAAAACTTTTAAATTGTATGGTTAGCAAAAGTTAGACAATGAGTAATTATGGTTAGCTTTTTTCTTAGTATCGAAACTTCTGTCAACTTTCTTTTAAACAAAATCTTCATTTTTTCTCTAAGTTTTGTTTTACCTCTCTAAAATAACGTTTTGCCGTGAATAGATTTTTATGCCTTTAAGTTCAATTAAAAATAGTGATCTCGTGAAAATGTTCTCTTTTTTTTTAAACAAATTGGCAAAAAATGGCTTATGGTTCATTTCTCTCCACCCAAATATGGGTAAAATTAGTTTTTTTAGGGCAGTCAAGTGTAGTATCACAAACATATTCTAAACATATATGTAAGAAGTTGTTGCCGGGTCAAGACAATATAGTTTGAGTTTTCTTGTTTTTATATAACAAAAACATATGAGTGAAAAAGAACCTCTTAACTAATTCATTACCTTTTAAACTTCATTTTAATTTTCTATGATAGTTATTTAAAGGAATAATTGCAAACCGTCCTTGAAAGATATCGAGATTTTTTTTTCGATTTGTTTCTACTTTTTTTCTTCTTTTTTTAATAACTGAACTAAGGTTCATGCAGTGAGAAAATTATGCTCAGATACCGTCCTCTGTTGATTTTATATTATACGATATAAAATAAACGATAAAAAATACGATTTTTACTGTTAATTTTGCAGTTTTTTTTGGTTCTGTCTGTATGATCTATATTGATAAAGAAGACGATTTGGTTTTGCTCATGGAGATAGCTCTCGACAAGCTGATGACTGTTTGGTATTCTCCCAAGCCAAACCAGATTGTAAACGCACACTTTCATACATCGTTTTGTTATAGGTTTCTGGATTGAACATAAATTGGATCTTGTTAACAATCCCCCCTTTTTAAATATGGGGGAAATAGTTAACAAGATCCCAAAAAAAATTATGATTATTTTAAAGAACAGTTCAAGAACAGTTCATAATTTCACAGTACGTCCTAATTAAGTTTTTCTAATATTACATTTTGCGTTACAGGACTATACCAAAACAATTCAATGTTGTCAGCTAAAATGAAATTCTTGATTAATAATTTTTGAAAAAAAAAGTTGCGTTTCAGGTCAACTCTGGCATTAAAAACAGTCCCCAGTGCAAGAAAGTGTTCGAACAATTGCAGAAGGAACACAAGTGGAGATACATTGTGTACAAGATCAACATGACGTCACTTCTCATCGACCCAATCATATTCGGAGATAAAGACGCCAGTTACCAACAGGTAACGGACACTTTTATTGGGTCTTTGTTGTAATTTACCCCATATTGCAAGGATGAGGGGGGGGGGGGGGGGGTTCGGAGATTATTTACACGGAAGGTGCACATCTCGTATATGCTTGACTGTCCATTAAACTATTTCTTACTAGTGGTGGAATAACACTACTAGGTGCCCTAGGGGGGGGGGGGGGGGACTTTACAAGATGGTTTAATATTTTTGATTTTTCATGTCATTGATATTTTATTACTTTTGTTGTTTTGTCCTCTGCAGTTTCTGGATGACCTGAACAAGAGTGGGTGCTGCTATGCCGTGTATGACTTCGTCTTCCACAAACCAGACGGGTCAAAGAGGGAGAAGATCGTATTCATCAACTGGTTAGTCTTCAGATAACTTAAAACTGCGAGTCCTTTTTGTTGGATTTTTCCACAGGACATATCAAACCGGCAAATAAATTTCACAAAAATTCTGCATGTTTTTTTTGTGGAGGGTCTGGTTTGCTAGAATTTGTTTTGATAAAACTCCTAACTTTGGTATCACTTTACTTCGCGCGTTAGCGGCGGACTGCGGAATATCCCAAAACATTTTTCCTTCCGTCAAAACTCGTGAAAAACCATGATGGTAATCTAAATTTGTTATCTGGGAGACTTTCAGGTTGTTTTATTGTTATACAAGAAAATTCCGATTTTATGCACGCAAGTAGAACTAAAATTTAAAACGGTTGCGCGCGTAGGACCAGTTATGAAATTCAGGCAACCGTTATTAAATTCAAAATCAAAAGAGCCGTCGAAATTCTTTTTATACCTAGATTACTCGGTGTCTTGCCAAAATTGGTCTTGCAGGTCCCTAAAAGGGTTTTAAGCCAGTTCTCAACGCTTTACACGCAATACTGATCTGGTCTGTTACTTCAGACTACTATTCTGTTTCCAGGTTTCAGGGAATACGGGTTACCTTTTATGGAACAACCCACTTAATATAGCCCCTTTAGTCTGAAACTAAAGAGCTGGCGTTAGAGTTTAAATTTTAAGACAAGAACAAAGCATGACTGACTTTCCAAAGATACATTATATAGTTTTTTGTCGGGCAAACTCCCACTAATGTCCGAGAAGCAATAATGAATGACCAATAAGACATATTTTTCTTGACAACAGACTGCCAATTTGACCAAATTTTGAGATTTATTCGGTCTTAGAAATCGATCGTTCCAAACTAAACTGAGACTTGCGAGCTGATCTATAAAAAAGTTTGCTATATGCTAAACGTACCAATTCGTACCTTACATAACGTGCGCGGGGTAATTTTTAAAAAATCAAAACTAAAAAATTGAAATAATTTTCAATTTTTTTAAATTAATTTCTCCAATTTTTTGAAGCAAACAATTACACCATAGACATTAAAGTGCAGTCGAAATATTCAGGGTTGCGCTCTGATTTCGAGCAATGTTTTTTTTTTTTTAATATCTGAGAAGTAAAGCTATCCAAATTGATAATTTTTATTGTTTTCAAACTTTTACACTAGTCGAGTTTTATGCTGCTCTACAAGACTGATCCACAAAATTCCGACTGTCCTGAAAATTGTCTGATTTATATTTCAATCAAAAACTGAATTTTTGATCTGCTGCAACATTAATCGGAGCGGAGCGGAGTTTCATTCCAGGGATAGTCATCTTTTCTATTCAAAACAGTCTAGCATGTTTATTTTATTTCTGCTAATTTTTTTCTTAATTGAACAGTAGCTTTTCTGCAGGAAAATCTAAAAACTTTCATTGAGGTTGTACACAAATTCGGGTCAATTACCACCTTCTGTCAATTCAAGTTTAAGTTTAAAGCATAATGAGCTAAGCGATATGAAGTTAAAGTTTTTGCAGAAGAGGTGGAGGCGAGAAAAAGTTAACCAGACTTTTTTGTTCCAGGGCACCAGATGACCAGCCTATGAAGGCGAAAATGTACCAGAGTTCAACAATGACGGAGATGGAGAAGGCAGTTGACGGGTACTACTTGAAGATGCAGGCCAGTGACATCGGAGACATAGCGGAGAAAGACGTGGCAGAACAGCTGAACAAAATGGTCAAGTGATCTATGGCTGAACAGAAACGAAGATGTGTGAAAGAAAAACTATGAGATGTATTTACTTTACTATGTATAGATTGAGGGAGATTGAAAGAAACAATTTTTTAATAGCCAAACACAATTCAGTGTTCAAAACATAGAATAAAAATTCGATCAAATACGACCAAATTTTGAACATTCAAATTGGTTTCAATGGCTGATTTTCTAAAATAATATTCCCATCACCCGTTTTGTTATGATCGTGGGCATGATGATGGGCTTTGTTAATGGATCCGTTATAGAAATATGTTCAAAAACTATTCTTTGTACACAGATTACATTAAGATCCTGTAAATTGATTTTGATGTATTCCAGTTAACTAATTGAAAAATCCTTTTCATAATTCGAAACTTCAAAAATGAGATAATTGGCATTTGGTTAATAATATATCCCAAACAAGACTGCTCGTATCAGGGCACAGCCCTGAATGTTCCGATTGCCCTTTGATTGGTCTTCAATAGGTTTCAAGAAAACAAAAATTGTCAAAACACTGAATTTTAGGTAGACAAAATCAAATTTTAAGTGTTCGAATTTGATTCGTGCATGGAAAGACAAAATACCTGCCTCAACTAACTTTGGAACGATTTTGTTGTGAGGGATAACTCGCCAAACGTAAATTATCAACCGAGCAATTTAGACAACCTTTTGTCAGGTTACCATAGTGTTAGTGGTGTGCACACCCGGTTCGATGGTGGACCCATTCACTTCCATGGGTCGATCCGACGAGGGAGTGAAGATCCTTTTCGAGATTTTTAAGAAATTAAGAACCATTCCGAGCGTATATATTCCTAACTTTCTTCGAAAGTTGGATCCATAACATAGACATTTAGCGCATGTGGCAGAATAGCTAAATATTATAAATGGTTTCAAAAATGGGCTTCAAAATTAACTGAGCAAAAGTTAATTTTCACTTGCAGTTTGTTTCTTTACAGACATTTACTTTTTGTGTACAGTCCCCGTTTATATCTACAAAAAAAAACACTTTTTCCTTCAAATTGAAATTAAGATCTGAGTTTTTTCATCAGTAGATTCCATGGTCAATTTCTTATTGTTCCGACTATCGAAAAAAGTGACCAAATATTTGTTCTCGGGATGGTTATTTTTTCTCCAGACAAAATTCGACTTTTTAACTAGCCATTTTTGACAATTTTTTTTTATATACTGAAAAGTATTTATGTCTTGAGCTCGAATTTAAAGAAGATATTTAATTGTGATTAATTTTCGTTAAGTTATGTTTTAAAGATTGCCATGTGGTCTATTTGGGACAATCAACACCTGGTATGTTTCGCGCAATAACGTGTAAGCGGCTATTTAATCCGTCTTAGAATTCTTTTCAAATTGGCTGAAGCAGGCTATTTGTCACACTTGCTACGTTAGTAGGAGCAAACTTTATCACATTGTAGTTTATACGGCGTGTGTGGGATGGTAAAAAAATCCCTTGTTTTCACTATTATGTAAAAGAGTAAGGATATGACTGTGGACTCCCCGGGTGAAATCAACAGATTTTTGTATTTATATGAAGCATAGGTTTGTAACCTTAGAAGCACTGGCTTTCAGTTTATATACTGCAAATGTCAATGAAGTTCTAAGAATCATATTCTGACTACTGTTACTTGCAATATATAAATTGCAAGCCAACGCTTGTAATAGCACAAACTTATGCCTTCTTTGTTTTGCAATATATATTCCGCCTCTAAGAAAGTTCAACTCTAAAAAAAATTTAGCTTGGATTCCACACTTAGCAGTAGACTGAATAGAACTACTCAAATTTCACACATCACATTCTTCATAGAAATAAAGAGATTTGCATTGAATTCTGCGCCTTCATTGAAATCGACATTGTTTTGTACCTTGTCCTTAAATCCAAAGAAATGCTTTGAAAATATCTGAAAACAATAGAACTCATAGTACTTGGTAAAACTGAGCAGCATGCCAATTTATCAAACCCTTCTCTTAGCAAAAAATGATTTCAAGGGTGCCTTTTTTAAAATTTATTGCTTATTTGGTGCCGTTTTGGAAATGTTTCTATTTAGTTTTTGTATGCGAAATTTTTCAACTAAAAATTTGAAATTTTTGTTCTATTTACGATAAAAATGAAGAAAATTAGGTCAAAATTAGGTGCTTTTTATTTGATGAGTGTTAACTTCATGGTATCAGCCTAATAGATAAGAATCTCGGCTACGTTTTTTCCTACATTAATAACCAGTAGGTAGATCCGGATGGTTTTTCGTGGGCCAAAATACAGCCTAAACTTACATCTTATTTGATTTAATTGATTTTTTATCATCATTTTTTTCTGAATTTCATTTTACCATCGGTTTCAGCAAGCAACGTGGTTAACTGATTTCGATTCAATTTACCTTGCTCATGACAATCTAAAATTGATTGGAATTGATCCTAACAGAAATTTCAGCTGCTTGATGATTACTCTATGAAATCATTTTTACAAACAAACTGTTTTTTTTGCTCTTGCATGATGCTGACTCTCAAAGACCTTTGATCAGAAAAAATGAGGAAAAGTCATTCCAAAAAGCATCCTTTTTTTCGTAGGATTGTCATGTAGTTTTTTGTTTTCCAGGACAACTGATCTTAAACTGCACAATTTCTTAAATTTTGCAGTGTTTAACTCTTAGCATTAGCATTTAACACTCAGCAAACAAACAAACTTTTGTTTTATAGTGAACAAAGTAAGTCTATAATACTTTTCATGCTGCAAAGTTCAATCAAGAAAACAAATACGCTGTTTTAATCAAAATTATAGACAAACAAGGATGCTTGTACCAGGGCGAAGCCCTAAATGTTCTGACTCTGCACTGTGTATTCAATGAAGTAAGGGTTCGCAATAAAAACTTAGATGAAATCCCCCCCCCCCCGAAAAAAAACTGAACAAAATTCAAATTTAATTTAAATGCTATTTGAAAACCATCACCCACACGCTATGTAAAGTCCAACGTGATATATTTTGCACACATCATAGTCTGCAAAAGACCAAATAGCATACCTCAAACTAATTTGGAACCATTATTATTAGCACGAAATATGTTGCGCAATAATTGTCCCAAATTGGCAAAGTTCAAAGAACAACCACAGTTGAAATACTTAATACTTTTCCACATTGAGCTCAGGACAACATTATTTTCGGCTGCTTAAAAATATTTCGTCATTTTTTCCTAGTTAGAAAGTCGAAATTCGTCGGGAAAAAAAAACCATTTCGAGCAAAAGTAATGTGTTGTACAATTGTTTTGGAAATGATGCACAATTGGTTTAACTTGCCGCCACAAATAATCAACTCTAACTCGAAAAAAAACATCTACAAGAGTTTTGTTTCTTGAAGGTTTGACTTGCACAAAATTACGCATATTGTGATAAACTACAATATAATGATGAAAGGAGAGAAAAGTTTCGAATCGTTTTAAAGCAAATATTGAATATACACTGAAAAATTAATTGTTTCGAATAGTCCTGAAGAAAATGACAGAAAGTGTGTGATCGGGTTGTTTTTTTCTCTCAACACAAAATTCGATTTTGTAACTTGCAATTTTGTTAAAATCTTCAAAATTTTAGGAGAAATTGTCCTCAAAAAATATTGTCGTCCTGAGCTCATCCGTTGTCCTGATGTTTTACCCGTGAGTAGTTTTATAGGAAACGCTGGGGGCCCAAAGATTGCTAATTCGGCTATTTTAGGACAAGTAACGCGCAATATAAAATTTTAACGGGTAAGCGGAGATATAGGGTAGGCTTGGAAAACGCTCTAAATAGAACTGAGACAAGCTGTTTGAATAATTTATAATTCACTGTAAGCTAAATATATCATGTTGTTTTTTTTTAAATATCGTGTGGGGAAAGAATTTCAAAAAATTATCCCAATCTTTGTTTTTTGAAAACTTTTCATTATTTCTGCAATTTGCATCCATATTTCAAAGCGAACACTTTTCTATAGATTTTAACATGCAATCAAAATTTTCAACGCTTCGGGTAATTTTCAGCTACTTTCAATGTTTTGAGAATTGAAAGATTCTTGACAAGTTCGTTTGGAATAATACTCAACGTCACAATTTCTGTTGGTATTGGTATAGGCTAGCGAAAGTAAATTGCGGTCAGCAAAAAGAAATATTTGGTTTGATTAGAGAATTAAACTGCGATTAAGATTTGTACAAACCCAGGCAACATTCGCCTCATAGTTTTTTTTAGCATCAGTGACACTTGTTTCTTAGAAATCTTGTGTTCAACTGCACAGTTCAAACAATTTTAACGCTAGAAAACGAAAAAAAGAATCCGAGCTCAAGGAAATATTTGATCAAGTTTTTATTGTTATAAGCGTGTCGTAATTCGTGGTGTTTAGTGTTGTTGTTTTTATCCCGACCATTTTGTCTTTGAATTTATTTCAATGCTTTTTCATTATTTTCTCATGCAAAATTCGTTAGAACAAAGTTTTTTTTTCAAATGGTTGAATATGTTTCTATGTTTTTTCATAATTCGCAATTCGATTTTTTTTGAAAAAAAATTTTGAAACTTAATTCAGTGTGAACAAAATTGATTGAAAATTTTTGTTTTTAGTTCAATTTTGCGCATTTAAGTCGGGCGATTAATGCTACTTAGATGAAACTTGGATTTGTTTAAGCAGAATTCATATTCCAGAAAAAGGGTTACGAAGCGAGTGCATTTATTTTTCTTTATTTTCTTTTTTTTTTTCAGTTTTTTTTTTGTATTAGTCGTTCAGGAAATTACTCAAACACTCATGCGAGTAAGGAAAATAACAAAATAAAGAGCGAAAAACCGAGAAAAAACTTGGTTGTTGTCAGTTTGATAGAATATTAAAAATCAACGAAATCATGGCTTGCCTACCGAAAATGAACAAAACAGACCTACTTCTAGATGCTAAAAATAGCAAGTAGTGCAGGAGCTTGAAAAAAAAGCTTGTCCCTCAAGAAACATTCAAGAAACTCCGGGGCTAGATTTTCAAACACAGATTAACTATTTCAAATAATGAAAGTAAGACGCAAAAAAATAACTCATCAGTCAAAAAATTTTTGATTTTACATTTTAACTGTCATTTGATGAATTTGCAATTTGGGCCAATTTAAACAGTTTTTGTTTTCTTATTTCAGGAAATGAACAATAAAAAGAACCCTTTTGGCAAAACGCAAGCTACTGTAAAGTTTTTCTACCAAAGGGAAACAATAAAATCAAATACCTGACTTACATAAATTTGTATGTACTATTTTCTTATATAATCTGTTTTTTTTGTGCGTATCGTAAAAGGACTCAAATTAGTCGTCTCGAAAGATCTAAGGGAACATCTTAGACCTTTCATGACCTGCTAGACCTATTGACCTATAGTCA